TTTGAAGATGAGAACTTCCTCTTTAATATGGCGTGGGATTCGGGCTTATACAAGGCCATTAAAGCTGTGTTTCAAAGCGTCAAAGTACCTATCTTAAAACTGGCAAACTGTCAGAATTTGGCTAAGTCTGGAGGCATGGTCAGGAAGGTCACTTTGGAGCTCCGTTCAGGGAAGATGGGATCGAATCAGGAAAGGAGCTTTGTACCACATGAATGCGTGTTTGTTTGTATACAGAAGCAAGGTATTGGCTAAGGATAAGAAGACCTGGAGGGATGTGAACGTGAAGCTCAAAGATGCTAAGGAAGCCTGTTTTGGAGGCAGTTTGCTTAAGCTAGAAGAAAGGGAAGTATGACGAGTGGAAGTCCTTTTTAGTTTGGGATTGTTACCTTATTCATAGTATAGTTTAATTTGCTTTCCATGTTCGTTTTGTAGTTGAATTAGGTTTAAGTTCGCCTATTTAAAGGCCTAGAACTTCATTGTAATAGTTAGTCGTTAATCAATTCAGAACTTGTTCATTGAGTTTTCAACTCGTGGATTGTCCTTGTTGCTTGGTTCAAATCGCCAACGACGAGCGAGCCTTGTATCGATTGAGTCATCACCTCAATCGTGGTCGGGTTGCTACCTTGAATTCGGTTGAGCCTCTTCCCCGCGCGTGGTGTTGAAGTTGCACTCCGAACCATCCTTCTATTTCCCTGTTACTTTGTTTTCTGGCTTAGAACTCTGAATTCCAAGCTGTGTTCAACAAGACTCGCGGATTGGGGCTTATCAAGTGGTATCGTGAGCCCGGTTCAACTCAGTGGCCGTGCGACGATTCTCCCGCGGTGGCAGAGACGACGAGTTCATCGACAGAAGGCGGCGCGGGTACGACGAGGTGGACCCGATCAAAGGGCCCTGTAGAGTGCGATCCTGCTGCTTTCTTGGTAGTGAAACAGAAGGTTTCGAAGAAGCAGGCGGTTGTTCTGGGTTTCCCTAACAAAGAACGGTCGCTCGCGGCAGAGTCCGTTTTGGAGAAGGAGTCCACGTCACACGCCGATTCAGCAATGGCGGACCAAACTAATACCTTGGATATGCTTCAAACTATGATGGCACAGCAGAATGCCGCGTTTCAAGCTCAGTTCGATCATATAAATCGACAACTGACTGAATTGAGAGTAACGGTAGACGCCCCTGTTCGGCAGCAGAGGGTCGTTGCAGAACAGGACCTTGAACAGGAACTGCTTCAGGGTGATCACGACGTTCAACTAGGAGCTGCGGCAGCGGAGCCAAGGAATAACGTTGCTGATCTGCGAGGCGTGAAACTACAAGTCCCATCGTTCTCAGGCACAAACAGTGCCTCGGTGTATCTCGATTGGGAAAGAAAGATCATGCTTTTCTTTCAATGTGGCGATTACAGCGAAGCCCAGAAAGTACTTCTTGCGACGTACGAATTCACCGACTATGCCGCACAGTGGTGGGAGAAAACCCAGCTCCGCCGTCGTAGGAATTTACAACCTGAAGTCACAACTTGGACGGAGCTGAGAGGTTTACTGCGAGAACGTTTTGTTCCGGGATACTATCAACGCGATCTGTTTGAGTCTCTGCAGCAGTTACGACAGGGTTCAAAATCCATTGACGAGTACTATCGAGAGCTTGAGCTCCTCATAATGCGTGCTGATGTCCGGGAAGATAAAGAAGCCACTATTGCACGGTTTCTTCATGGGATGAATCGCGAAATTAGACTCAAAGTAGAGTTGCGGCCATTCGTTGAACTGGAAGAAGTTGTTCACCTTGCGATTAAGGTGGAACGACAACAACGAGCAAGCGCTGGAAGAAGGCCCTCTAAGTCTGTCCCGGAACATACCCCAGCAATTAATCCTGAACAGACCAGGTTGGAGGGAACCAAATTCGCACCCCGCACTACTACTCCAGTGTCTCACGAGAAGCCGGGAGGATCGACGAGCAACATCCAGTGTTTTAAGTGTTTCGGCAGAGGCCACAAGGCCAACCAGTGCCCAAACAAGAAGGCCCTGGTGCTACGTAATGGAGAGTACGTGACCGAAGATGAAGCAGAGGAAGATGGCAGCGAAGGGAGTGAGTCTGATCCCGAGGTCGATGAATCAATTGAAGTCGAAGTCCCTCCTACGGGAAAATTTCTCGGAGTAAATCGTCGAGCACTCACTTTGGATTCTCTGGCCAGCGAAGAACAACGAGATAATCTTTTTCACACCCGTTGTACAATTGAAGGGAAGTTATTGTCCGTTGTAATTGACGGAGGCAGCTGCACAAACGTCATCAGCCTTGATGCCGTTAAGAAGCTCGGGCTAGCAACGATTAAACACTCCCAACCATACAGCCTGCATTGGTTAAATGAGTACGGGACGTTGAAAGTGAACAAACAGGCGAAAGTTCACTTCAAAATCGGCGAGTACGAGGATGAATTATGGTGCGATGTAGCTCCGATGCAAGCCGCACACCTCTTGTTAGGACGCCCTTGGCAATACGATCGTGGGGTCGTTCATGATGGCCGAGGTAATTCTTACAGATTCAAGCATCGAGATCGTAATTTCCTCCTTAAACCGTTATCCCCGACAGAGGTCCGAATTGATCAACAACAAATGAAGGTGAGCCAGAGCAGAGACACCGAGGGAACCACTCAATCGCAACGAGTTGAAGAGGGACTAATAGCTCGGAGGTTCATGCTTACTGCTTTTGGTAAAGAGAGTCTTCACTCGCTGCCAGAGTGTCGACGACTCTGTTTTGTGTCGGCTGAGCAGAGGAGGAGAGAGGGGCAATGGGGTGGAGCAGCTCGCGCGATGTCGAGCTTCGCCAATGCCTCCGACGCAGTCCCCGCGACCTTGGGAATCTCCTTCGGAGGCCAGAGCGACGCGAACGCCCCTCACCCGCCAGCTCAATTTCGACTTCCAACAGCCCTGGTTGCGCACAAAGAAGAAGAAAGTTCGGCTGAATGGGTTGGAGTGCTCGGGCCTAATTCGACCCAAATGGACTCGGCAGAATCATTGCTCACGTCTTCGATATGCTGTAGGATTGATTAATTTGATTCGGAGGATGCTGGAATAGAAACACCCAAATCGACATCACATATTCAGGGTGGGTCATTTTTGAATGTCGGCGTTGGCGGGAGAAGTCGAGGAGCTAAGTCGCCACGAACGGCGACGATTCGGAACCTGCCGCCGATTCAGGAAGTCGATTGGAGGTGTGGCCAACCTCGTGGGAGCACTGAATTGGATTGGCAAGACCTGAATCGAAAAGCCCCAATCCAGCTGCTCAAGAACACTGTTTTCGAATTGCAGAAAAGGGAGTTTGGAATGCCATCTTTTGACCCGATTTGGACTGAGTTTTGTGCAGATTTCGAGAAGAAGAAAGAACCAGCTTTGAGGGCAAAGCTTTTTGAAGAGGGGGAGCCTGATATGAGCTTAAATTGCTTACATTCCAAGCTCGATTTGTTTGTTCAAGAAGTTAAGCCAACTCATTTGCGCAACCTGAGTTTTTGGCCAAGTGTTATGACGAGTTTGGGTAACCTACTTTGCGAGCTTGAATCTTCCGATTGGGTTAGTATAAATGAGAGGTTAAGGTGTTGGTTTGAAGATGAGAACTTCCTCTTTAATATAGCGTGGGATTCGGGCTTATACAAGGCCATTAAAGCTGTGTTTCAAAGCGTCAAAGTACCTATCTTAAAACTGGCAAACTGTCAGAATTTGGCTAAGTCTGGAGGCATGGTCAGGAAGGTCACTTTGGAGCTCCGTTCAGGGAAGATGGGATCGAATCAGGAAAGGAGCTTTGTACCACATGAATGCGTGTTTGTTTGTATACAGAAGCAAGGTATTGGCTAAGGATAAGAAGACCTGGAGGGATGTGAACGTGAAGCTCAAAGATGCTAAGGAAGCCTGTTTTGGAGGTAGTTTGCTTAAGCTAGAAGAAAGGGAAGTATGACGAGTTGAAGTCCTTTTTAGTTTGGGATTGTTACCTTATTCATAGTATAGTTTAATTTGCTTTCCATGTTCGTTTTGTAGTTGAATTAGGTTTAAGTTCGCCTATTTAAAGGCCTAGAACTTCATTGTAATAGTTAGTCGTTAATCAATTCAGAACTTGTTCATTGAGTTTTCAACTCGTGGATTGTCCTTGTTGCTTGGTTCAAATCGCCAACGACGAGCGAGCCTTGTATCGATTGAGTCATCACCTCAATCGTGGTCGGGTTGCTACCTTGAATTCGGTTGAGCCTCTTCCCCGCGCGTGGTGTTGAAGTTGCACTTCGAACCATCCTTCTATTTCCCTGTTACTTTGTTTTCTGGCTTAGAACTCTGAATTCCAAGCTGTGTTCAACAAGGCTCGCGGATTGGGGCTTATCATCTCCGTTATTGGACCTATTCTTTTATACGTATACTCCAAAATCTTTCAAAATCCTTTGGTCATCTAGAGTTTTTCAATGCTTGATCCAAATTTCCTTAGGCTGACTTGTACCCTCAAAACCATCAAAATCATACCCAATTGGCATCAAAGAGTACAAGATCATAGCCTAGGTCTACTAAAAGCTTATTGATAAAATAGTTGTGATTTAGATAAGAAATACCAATGAAATGACAAAAGATGTTTTGATAGAAGGAAAAATGTATCAAGAATGGGATTGACAAACACTATAAATAAAGTTTCATCAATGAACCACGACAATTTTTCATATTCTTAAAGGTTTGTAAAATACATTCATTGTTTTTCTTGTGAATCAAATAATTCATTGTTTTGGTTGTGAATAAACACTTTTCATGTATATAACTAAACAATCACTCATAAATTGGCCAGTCAATCGATTTCAAACACTTTTCAACTGATTGCTCCAATTCTCTACAGATTTATTTTGTAACAAAATAGAGGTAGGAAAAAAATGGCCACACAACGTTTTATCGAGGGAAGTGAAAAGTTTTGATCTAGGCAAAATACACTTGTATAGCCAAAATATCGCGTTTGTGACAATAATAGCCAATTTTGAAGAAATACTATTTATAGCCAGAATTTTGAAAGTTTTATGACAAATATAGCCATTTCCGTTACAAACTTTAACGGTGTTAGAATCTCCGTGAGTTAGGTTAACATTAGGCTGACTAGGATGTCAAATCATCACACACATCAGCGACAAATCATCCGTTGATGACACTTAGATGCCATGTTTTATTTTAATTAAAAATTAAACGAATAATTTTTATTTTATTTAATCACAAAATCAAATAAAAAACAATTCAGGTGATCCCCTTTCATCTTCTTCCTCTCGCTAAGAACAAGGGAATCATTTCATCCATCCCCAAATCAAATCCTAAATAGCGAGGAGAAACTAGTCTTGGCCCTCTTCCATTTTCGGTGAGGCGACTTTGATGTGTGGCTTCTGAGGATACTAGATTTGCACCTGGTTGTTTCGTCCCCGATCTCGAGATGGCTGGAATCTAGGTCTTTCCTCAAAGCTCAAACAAAGCGTCATCGGGAACCGTGGTTCTGGGTTTTGATTCGTGTATTGAAGGACCAGCTGATGGCGGATTGAATGAAGCCGCCACAGTGGAGCAGAGAAGAAGGAGTAGAAGTCGACGATGCCACAAATGCTAGCTTCTTGCTTTTTTGCTCTAGTCGTCGATTCCACAGCCAGCAGTAGCGATTGGCATTTCCCAATCGCACCCATGCCCATCTTTACTCACTGGGTCAGGTCGGCTGGCGCCGATTCCACAGCCGACAACAATGACTTCAATCTCTGGTGTCACTGGGAAATCGGCGGCTGAAAAAGAAGGTCGTGGCCGATCTAGATCTAGTAGAGGAGTGGGAACGAATGGATGGTTTTGGCCTTTTGGGGATTTTTGGGTAAACAAGCAAACTAAGGATGCAAAATTAGACTTGGGGATCATTTTTTGGTTATGGTAGTGGGGGCTTGGAGTGATCCGATAGGCATGCTTGAATTGATTCCAATCCATGAATATTGGTTGTATTTTATTTCGGGGAGAGATGGGAGTTGAAAGGTTGCTGGGATGTGACCGCCGGCGAATGAAGATGGGCGTGGGAGGCAGGGAGGGTGGTGACGGGAGGAAGAAGGGCTGCCAGGCCTTTTCAAATTTTATCCACTTAATTCTTTTTCCTATTCTCTAAATTCATGTGGATTTTTACAGAAAAAATTGGCTAGAAGTGCTCGCCACGTCAGCATTTATGTTAATTTGTTCAGTCAGACTTAACGTTAACACCGTTAAAGAATAGGACGGAAGTGACTATAAGTGGTATTTCTCCAAAATTGGCTATTATTGTCACAACCGCGAAGTTTTGGCTATACAAGTGTATTTTGCCATTAAAATATGGGTGTGTTCCATTTGTTGTAAGAAACAATCATGCATAAGCATCATCTTGGTAATTCTCACATGTAAGAAGGTCAAATCATCCAAGTGATCACCATTTTGGGTGGGTGGGTTAGTTTTGGTTTGGTTCGTCGGCTCTTGGTTTCTAAGGTTGCTAAGCACAAGCAAACCAATTTTTATCACAAGCAAAATGTACCTTAAAAATCTTATGATCATATATTGAGCCAAGAACGAAAGTGATAAACCTCATTCCATTGCTCAGATTTTCTTACAACCTAAAATTTAAAGTACATTTCAAACAACCAAAATAACAATCAACTTTATTCATGATAAACCAAATACCCAAAATTACAAAGGAATTGAAATCCAAGCCATCTCCCAGCAGTACTCTCATTATCTTTTTTAAGTTAGGTATTAAACATGGATTGCCTCCAAAGGATTGCTCTCTCTTTTATGCCTTTGAGTTAGACATGACCATTGGTGAACTATTGGAAAGGCCAATGGGCTTAGAAGGTCATTCTCCTCTCAATCATGAGTGGAGGTGGTTCAAAGAACTCTTGGGGATGACTCATGCAAGCTCTGTCTGAAGGCCTAAGATGTCCACATCCAAAGTTACTCACCATTTGTTCGAGTTCCTTTGAGGGGTGACAGTTGGTTCTCTTTGTCTAATTTCTTATCTATATCCCTCGGAAGAATTTTATTGACATCGTCCTAATTGTTTGAAATTGGGGATCCAGAGGAGTTACATTAAGATTCTCCAAGAGAGGAGCCTCATGACCAAAGAACATCGATCCATTTTCTATCGGATCAGATGCTTTGCATTGTTGATAATCCTCCATGCATGATTATTGATCAATGATCCAATGGATGCAAGGAATGGTATTCCAAAAAGGATAGAATAATCTTTATCTTTATCCATGTATAGTACTACAGCGTCAAGGGGGGAGGGGCCTATCTCGACTGGGACAAAGCAAAATTTTGTGTTGTCTGAAGCTTTGATGTCGATGGGTGCATCATTTAAGTTGTTGAGCTATAGCAATTCATATGCGTGTTGTGGCATTGCATTGAGGCTAGATATGATGTCAGTCTGAGCAACGATAACTTGAAGGTTGAGGACACGTGATTATTAGAAGTTCTTTCATAGTTTAACCGTGTTTGCAAAACTGGCGTCAACAACCCATTGTGTTTTTATGCTTTTGAAGATTCCTCAAGGAGATGGATTGAGTCATTTTTTATGTGAGCTCAAGTTTTCTTGGTAGGTCAATATTATTTGTTTGCTTTGCAGGAGTTGGGATTCGACAAAGACTTTCATTAACTTCCTAATGCCATTGGCTTGCTCAGTCTTTGGAATGCTTCTATTGGAATCTCGCCTAATTAGGGCACCATATTTGTTCATCTTGCACGTGAAGTTGCTCGTACGGATCTGATCATAATACTATATTGCTTGCAATACAAGAACATTGATTCACTACACCGCCTTCATCTTCTATTTGGAGCTTGCCCCATGACATTCTCCCTGCAAAGGGTAGAAGTTAAATCAATGATTTTGTCAATGCCTAAAAAATTTCCTTTATTGTGGCAAAAAATGTTTTGTTGTTAATGATTCAGTTTATAGTTGACCACTGTCCTTATCTCATTTTTCCTTTTTGCTGATTGCTTGAAAAGACTGTTATTTTTTATCTGCTTAGATTCCCATGGTATGGGGAAAAAGGTGTGCCTATTGTTGTATTGCCTAGTCTTTGTGAAACGGTACCGTACCAATTGTCCGATTGAAAAATTCTACTACTGGAGACTAAAGTAGTAGACGATTCTTAGCAACATGTACATTGAATTATAGTTAAACAATTCTTTCATCACCGTCGCAAATTCCCTTTTAATAAATGGTAAATACAATATATTAGCCAAACCTTTCATTTTAAACAATTTAATAGCCAAACATTTTCTAAAACAATTTAATAGCCAAAATGTTAACTTTCCATCCGGTCAATTGTTAGTTGACTTTGACGTGGCAATTTTTGTACACATCAGAAAATGATTTTTTACAATTTGTTTTGTAATTTCTTATAATGTTTTTATTTACCAAATTATTATTATTTCCCTTCCCTCTCCCCGTTAAATAAAACTAATTAATACTTATGAGGCATAGCTAAATACTTAAATTCTTGCCACATCATCAAAATCATTCCCCTCAGTAATTAATTTGCCATGTTAGAGTCAACTAACAGTTTTTTTTTTATCCAAGATAATCCCCCAGGGCATGGGCAAACAACAAATATATAAAACTTATAATAATAAAGAACGGTAGACCGTATGCACCGGACTCCCGATAAAAGAGTCTTTTGCCACGAGGTGGGCAGCTCTATGAAAGCTCCGAGGAGCAAAGACGTGAAACTGACACAGGGAGTCGATACGAGAGAAAGAACTTCCCTTAAAATATCTATGACTTTAGAATGGGAAGACTTCCTCGATGTAGCATCCTGATGATCGGTGGAGAATATCCTCGAGAGGTAACAACCAAACATTATGAGTAATACCCTTTCTCATAGTAATAACATAATAAATTTTACCAAAAGCAAATGAGACAGTTCCATCACCTGAAAATTTGACAAAGTCAGCTGCACATCCGTGAAGATTCTTTGTGGCTCAATCAAACTGGATCAATATACTTTTGTTAGGGCAGGTTATATCTAATCCCAAAAAGGCATCCACTGTGATGTTAGAGATCTCTATCTCAAGAGATTAAGAAGTGCCCTTTAGGCCAAGGACTGCTTTACCGTGCCGCACCGGCCGGTAGAACCGGGAAAACCGGAAACCGGGCAAGTCCCGATACGGTAGCTGATATTCCGAGAAATAAGAGTGCCGACCGGTATTTTCCATTGAACAGACCTTTCGCGAAATACCGGCCGGTTTTGATCCAGCCGGCGGTTCTTCAATTCCTTCTCCCCTGTTGTTCGTCATTCGTCTTTTTCGACCGTTGACCGTCAGCCGATTCTTCTTGAAGCCTCGCTGGTCGCTCCCATAGACAGGCCTATGGAGAAATCACAGAGGAGAGGAGGTGAGAAGATGAAGAAGATCTCGACGCCATAATCTCCGTCACAAACGACGATGATCTCGTGCACACGATGGTCGAGGAAGACCGCCTCTGCCGCGGTGGCGCTACCAGCAAGTCGGCCAATGGTTCATCGATGCTTTGAATTTCGTCCCCGTTGGCGGCTGTGTTGCCATCTCAAATCAAATGCAATCCCTTCTCCGCCTCCTGCCATTATTCCCTTCCATCTCCGCCAAAATCATATCGTTGAGCGACGCTATAAATTGAAATTGGAACCGTGAGGACGGAGGAGGCGAGCAGGGATGCTGGATTCTCAGCTTAATTAATGAAGAGAGGGTGATTTTTGTTGAGTTGGGCAAATCCACCATTGAAGAAAGCTCTGGAATAGTTGGTGGGGAAGGAATACGAAGTGCAAAGGAGAGTGAAACATAAAGGAAAAGTGAAGAAGGGAAAGTAAAAAAAAAAAAAACTCGATTGGAATAGAATGGAAGGTAGACAGCTGTCACAGACTAGAGAAGAAAGAAACGCATAAGTAATGCCATCTCAAATCAAATGCAATCCCTTCTCCGCCTCCTGCCATTATTCCCTTCCATCTCCGCCAAAATCATATCGTTGAGCGACGCCATAAATTGAAATTGGAACTGTGAGGACGGAGGAGGCGAGCAGGGATGCTGGATTCTCAGCTTAATTAATGAAGAGAGGGTGATTTTTGTTGAGTTGGGCAAATCCACCATTGAAGAAAGCTCTGGAATAGTTGGTGGGGAAGGAATACGAAGTGCAAAGGAGAGTGAAACATAAAGGAAAAGTGAAGAAGGGAAAGTAAAAAAAAAAAAAAAACCTCGATTGGAATAGAATGGAAGGTAGACAGCTGTCACAGACTAGAGAAGAAAGAAACGCATAAGTAATGGTGATTTTTTTTTGTCAAAGATGGGTAAGGAATTGAGGATTAAGAAAATAGTAAAATACCAAAATAGTATCCTTAAATTATATTTATATAATAATAATTAAGAATAATAAAATATTGACGTTTTGTTCACGCTCTCAAATTTGAATTCTTAATAGATTGGCGCTCTGACGCTCTCCCTCTTGCTCCCGCTCCCGCTCTCGCTTCACTCTCTGGTTACCTAAGTTGGGAGGCGGTATAATCCGGTTTTATTCCGGTATTTTCCCGGTATGGTACCCTAATTTTGCCGGTACGGTTTTTTAACAAAAAAATAATTTTTTTTATTTCAAAAACGGTATTTACCGGTAGGAAACGGTTGAACCATGGTTGTACCACGATTTACCATGCCAAATACGATTCTGGTTTGATGTCCGGTACGGTTTCGTAATCCATGCTTTAAGCATAGGCAGTATAACCAAATGTATAACATCAACTAGGGCAAGTTATATCTAAACCCAAAAAGGCATCCACTGTGATGCTAGAGATGGCATAGGCAACATAACCGAATGTATAACATCAATTGTATAATTCATAATGTATTTTGTCAAAAAAAATTGTATAATTCATAAAATAAAGTGTAATAGATCTCCATTTGAGGATGGATCGGAATTACCCAATATACAACATTCTTAAAAGTGAATTCCCAAAGATAGAGTCAACTAACAATTTATCGGACGGAAAGTTAACAATTTGGCTATTAATTTTTTTTCAAAAAAGTTTCACTAATAATTTGTTTAAAATAGGGATGGCAATTTGAACTCGCTCCGCCAGGTATTACCTGACCTGACTCTTGATGGTGCCGGTAACCCCGCCCGTAGTAGCGTGGGGCAGGGCATGGGTATCAACTTCCGACCCGCCCTGCCCTGCCCCGTTCTTGGCCATCCTAGATCAATTTCTTACGACATCCATTCATATATCTTCTATTTTGGTTTTACTTCAACTAGTTAGATTTGATCTTTCAACTAAATAGACTTAGTTACCCATTATAGTATCACTATTATTCATTCATGAAGTTTTTTCCTCTTTGTTTTATCGTAACAAGTAAAGTTTTGCTTATATTTTTTTTCAAATTGCATATAAGAGTTGATCGACCGGCCCTGTCCCGTACTCGCGCGGGTATTACCCTCCCTGACCTATAGTAGCGGGGGGCGGGACATGAGTATTGAGGTACCTGCCTCGCCCATCGCTAGTTTAAAATAAGTGGCCTGAAGCCTGATATGATTAATTTCGCGGCTCGTTAAGGATTTGATTATATATATTTACCTTTTCATAAAATCGAAAGCTATAAGGAGATGGGCTGGACTCGGCATTCAATTTACAAGGAAAAGCTGGACCGGGCTTGTTTCGGTGAAGTAGTCTCTGGTATCCAGCCTAGCAAAAACCCTAGCCGATATTCATTAACCTCCTCCCTCCTTAAGTCCTGAACCCTTTTGCTTTTCCTTCCCTGCCATTCTCTCCTCCTGTCTTCGATTTCCCTAGCAAATCCGCTAAAATGGTGAGCTCCTTCCCTTCCTCCTTTGTTTGGTCTGCGAAGCAGACTTTTCCTTTCTTGCTCTAGTATTTCCTCGCCGCAATAACTTGGCTGTGGATAAATCACTTGCTTCTCTGTTACTGGAAACTCCGGTCCGCCGTCGTTGCAAAAAACCTGATTTTTTGGAATGGTGTGTAGGGTTTCAAGAGGTACGTGGAGATTGGGAGGGTGGCGCTAATCAACTACGGGAAGGACTACGGAAAGCTCGTGGTGATCGTCGATGTCGTCGATCAAAACAGGGTATTGCTTTCTATCTTCTCTCTTTGTTGAGTTTTTCAATTACTCCCGAGAATGGAAGGGTAGTTTTCTTTTTTCCTTAAATGTTATAGTGAGGCTAACATGATAGTCACATTGTGATTTGTGAGAATTTAGATTCCAGTACCTTTATGCGATTAGGGTTTGGCTTCAGTTCTTTTCCTAGGAGATTCAATTCTTTGTCGATGGCTGTTATCGAAGTTCAGAATTGAGAATAGTAGAACTGGAAGAATGAAAGGCATTCTACAAAATATACTGTTTACTAAGCTCGGTTGGAAATGGGGTTGTAAAGATTGCCTTGTTGTTCAAAGGATTTGGATATTTTGGTGAAATGGATACACAGGCTCTGGTTGATGCTCCAGATATGGTGAGGAGCCAGCTGAACTTCAAGAGGCTTACTCTCACTGACATCAAGATTGACATCAACAGGGCTCCCAGGAAGAAGACTCTGATTGAAGCGATGGAGAAAGCAGGTTTGTGCTTGTTTATGCGTTTCCATGGCCCTTGGATTGTATTTTTATGTCCATGCTCTGTTACCTATCTTCTTACTGAACTCTTGGTGACTCAGATGTTAAGGGCAAATGGGAGAACAGTTCCTGGGGAAGGAAGCTCATTGTTCAGAAGAAGAGAGCCTCACTCAATGATTTTGACAGGTTCAAGGTCATGTTGGCTAAGATCAAGGTATGCATACATCACAACTTCTTTCTTCATATTCATTAGCCCTCTTTGTTACTCTTTTTTCCTGAATAGCATCACTAGTTCGTTGGGATGAGTACACACGACTTTGGATATGAACATCAACCGTGCATCAATTTGCTGCGAAATTTCTTTCCTTAACTTCCTCATCTTGCAATTGCACCCCCCCTGGCTCGTTGTTGTCAAATATGATTGTGACTAGCTGGGTGTTGTGTTTGGTCGTGTCATGAAGAATACCAAACATGCAATCTCATCTTAGTTGCATTGCCATGTAGCTCAAACTTCCACGGATTTTGTCGTCGTAGTGATATGTTAACAGAGTGGCCGACTTATTGAATGTTTTTCGTGTGTTTGCAGAGGGGAGGACTTGTCAGGCAGGAACTTGCAAAACTCAAAAAGGAGTCAGCGTAGAAGATCCCACCTTTTCTTTTTAAGTCGGCAGTTTACTTGCCGTTTTTATGTGTCTTGTTTCAGTCAGCAATTGGTAGTTTTGCTTGACTTTGAATTGGGATTGAATTGGGATACCATGGCTTGTGCTAAGGGAAAGATCATGTGGAATGGATTTAGCTTGTTATTTTCAATTACGTAATCCTGACAGTAGGGTGTTTTTTCCTATGATTGAAAAATTGTATCGTTCCGACAGTTTGTTTAGGAAAATCTCATAGCGATGGCTAAAGTGGACCATCGGTAGGCAGTATTTAGCACGTATGATGTGATTATATTATCATTAAATCACAATTTCAGCATAAAATACCCTACTAATATTTTCCGTTTCAACCTCTTTCCACTTTGCAGTACAACAATCCGATATGTTCGCAATCCTTGGTTTTTTCTTTCCACCTATGTTCTCAAAGCCGTTACATAGACAAGTGAAAACCAGTCTCCAACACTTAAACAAAAGAGAACGACTGATGTACAAAGGCCGGTTTGGCAGTCATGACAAAGGAACCAAAACTGAACAAAGACAAGATTGGAAGGCTGAGGGGAGACCATAGGTCATAATTATTGTAATAAGTCTCCAGAACTTCAGGAATAAGAGAATAAACAGTCACCTAACCATAATAAGAATGGGAAAAGGGGGGAAACCAAGGGGTTGGAAACAAAAATGTGGCACCTGAATGAGGTAAAGTAGTTGACTGGAAATGGCAGGAGTTCTCACTTCAAAGGCGCAAACCAAGTTCGACTCTATGTATATCAGAGGCCTGGAGTTTTGTATTGAACTATTGATTAAGCACCACGGCTCCCCCAAAGATACCACCTGACCTCTTCCTACTCGCTCACCACGGTATGCACGTACTAAAGTAACTTGCACATTCAAGGTTGGAACTGGGAAAGCCACAGGTGATGGTGTAGCGCTTGCCTTTCATTTCTTTGTGCTGGAGAATTACATCTGAGAAACCGAACTGGGCTCAGGTGTTAGAACGGAGCCTCGAGAGATTCTTCCCAGGACTCTACATTTCCGTTTGAGGCAGCCTCCGAATCCTCCTCCATTGAAAGTCTGACATATTCTCTATGTGCAAACCGATCCCATTCTGTTAAAGTTGGATCCTCGCGTTCCTGAAGTAACAAACAAGGCAGCCAGATGCATGTCATTAAAGCGAATCAGTTCACCACGCACGAAGTGGGTAGACATAACCATGAGAAGCAGTATTCATCAAATCTACCTGGTGAATGAGAAATGGGTCACGGCTTTCAAAGGCCATGAATTTGTTTAGATTGAAAAGAATGTTGAAGATATTTCCCGACAGTTTGCTTCTTTTCAAGTCGTGCAGCGTGATATAACCTTCCCTCTGCAGCACATCCATTTTCAGTTCACCGAAGAAATAATCAACCATCCAAAGTATATATGGTGGAACTTTTAATAGGTAATAAAAGGAAAAATTCACCTCAGGTGAAATCATGTCAACTATTTGACACAATATATCCTCAAAAAGCACAGGTTCCTGGGACATGCAACTCATTCGATGCAGCTGCTCCTCATAGAAGTATTGCAACTCACTGGAAGTCAGGACTCCATTCCCATCCAAATCAATGCATTTGAACCTGCCCCGTACAGCTCAGTAAAGTAAGAAACATGGCAAAAATGAAAGGAGATGCTGCAAGTTCAATATAGAAAATCATCAAAAGTAGGCCACCACATGAGTCCGCATTATTTAGGCCATTGCCAGACAAAGAATGGCATAGACAAACTGAAGCACTGTAGTACTGTCATTCGTAATTTGTAAGGGCCTACTGCTAATAATAAGAGACTAGTTTCACAAAACAAAATGAAGCACCTCAGAATAGTAGCACAAGATTTCTATGTTCAGCATTTCCAGCGAGAGTTTCACGAATTATATTTTTTATAGGTTATGATGACCTCATTGAGTTTCATGAACATATTGTTAAAATTCAAATTTCTAAAAAGCTGAACATTTTCTGATGATTAACCTGGGCATGCTAGAGCAACATGCTGCAGAGAAATGAGAAATGTGGTTGCAAAGAAAATATGCCCAGCAGAGATAGAATGTTGGAGAGAGCTGACAACAAAACAATTGACAGTAGAACATGCCAGAGTACTCATGTTCTGTAACTGTAAGCCAAACCAAATAGACCAAAAAAAGAGATGAAGTTACATACCAATATTCAAGACTAGGTTCAGATGATTTATCCTCCTCTGCCAGTATGAAATAAACAAAATCTTCATAGCTCATCTTTCCTTCCACATTGCTTGAAAACTTCTTTGGTACCTGAGATCAATTTAGGATCTTGTTACAAGTCACCCGATGCGTAACTATTTCATCCAAGTGTTAAAATTATTTAATTCAGATTTACAATAATGAAGTGATAGATCAAGACTGCCAACCTGTGAAAATATTCTATCAACAATCCTGTACGTAAGACAATGATTACCATATCTGATAAGATTCTCTCGGTCCAGCAAGTAATCATGGTCTGTATCCAGCTCCCAAAATTTGCAATATATGACGTAGAAATGCTCATAAGAGAAGTACCTGAATAAAGACAACAGATGCTGAGAAAAGAACACAGGTAACTGACGGTGTTGGAAGAGTATCTATTAACTCTATGAATATATCATGTTTGTCATTGAAGAAAACAAAATTGGCACCGGGATCATCTACACGTCCATTTTTTTTTCCCCGCTTGGTGCATGTTCTGGGTCAAATGAACATAGTGACTGAAATGCAAACACAACTATATATAAACAGGGGGCAGCCAGATTAAGTTAAAAAGAATAGCTTCAATTAGGTCTACTGTCAAATCCTTGCTAAGGCAACTAATCTACAAATACTTGCTGAAAAACAAACCTTAAAATTTTGTTAATTTCTTCTTCTTCATCCACTTGTTGCATGACAAAGATGAGATTGCTACGTTTCAACTCCCTTAGGGTTAGGCGGCCATTTCCTGATCTATTGATGTAGTAAAATATTCTGTATATGACAGTTTCAGCTGAGACATCAGCAGAAAAACTCATCAGTCAAAATCTGACATAGCTGCAACATGTTTCATCGTTTAGAGGACAATGGCATATCCTCCAAGGAGTAGTTTCTTTCGTTCATACCATATTTCTCTTGAAACTCAGGCGTCCCTTGTAAGAACTCCAACCCTGGGTGGGTTGCTAGCAATTCTTCAAGAACAGGTTTGAAGTCAGCCTGTGCACAACCAAAGTTTGGCAGATAAGTTTCACATATAGTTTTGTAAGAAAGAAGGGGCCATCGTCAAAATGATTAGCTGTCAGCAGCCAAATGTAGAGACAGTTTCCGTGGATAAGTGATGTGCATCGAAGGGCAGACCTTAGTTAGGTAGCGTCGGTTAGGCTGCTTTAAAATCTCAAAGACTTGTGTAGCCATATCCATTGTCAACATACTGCTCTCCGCCCAATATTTTAGAAATGCATCCCTGTAGAAACAAAATGACATAGGAAATAAGGTCCTAACAGAGACATGCATTGGAGAGACAGAGTAACTTAGCACATCTATTATTCAAAACTGCTTAAAATACGACTGCTTGCCGAGGTAACGCAAACAGAAGAGCTTCGAGAGGGGTTATTTCCTAACAGGAAATGCCATGAGATTGAACTTCTAAGAGTCATAAAGGTGCCTACCTTGTGACTATCCCATAGCATTCAACATCTATCCTCCTGAAAAGTGCAGATGAAAAGAAGGATGGAAGCTTGCAAACTTCCCTTGTAACAAGTTTGAATTCTGTGTACCGGGGAAACCAATAAAATTACTTTAAGTCAGAAAAAAAAAAATGAGAGTAGCTGTTCCACTTCTATCTTGCCATCCCAACTCCCAAGGGATGCAGAAGAAGAAGAAAGCAACTAGGAATCCAAAGAAAAGATATATATTGGAGATGCAATAATGATGATAATGAACTGGTTATAGTTCTAACCATCTATGTGCAGCCCATCGAGATTATTGTTGAAAAGTAGATTGATTCTAGAAAGACACTGTTCCTTGAGTTCATTTGCTGGTGGACGACCATGTTGGAAATAAAACTGCAGTAAACAAATAAATAAGTAAGTAACAGTCAGTGAACATTTCTACCTCCAAAAACAGAGGAGACAGATACATGCCAATCCCAAATGCAGAGATTGAACTCTGAGAAATCACTCAACCTGAGGTATAGCTTCTTGGGCCGGTTCAGTAGCCAACTTCCGAGTAGACCCAAGAGAGAAAGGGCTTATTTTCTGCTTTGAAGTGCGTGGAGAAACACACGAACTCCTGGGCGAAAGTGGAGGAGGACTGACATTAGTCAGCGAACTGCTACCTCCTCCAGCACCAGCACTAGAAGAGATCCCATGAGCATTGATTGGAAGACCAGCCTTTGCATCCCTAATCAACGATTTTACCTGCAATTAACACAGGCGAGCAGGCTGAACCAATTCACAGAATCACTATTCACTACTCACTAGGAATGATAACAGGTTCGATAGACTTTTGAGGAGCAGATAACAAGTTCCTACAGATGATGAAAAAGATATACCAATCGGCTAGTGTCAGGTTGAGAGAGCCATTGAGAGAACAATTCTTCAGCGATTTGAGTAGTCGGCTTGAGCTCAAATGAAGAAACCTCGGGAAGATGCAAAAGTTCAGGGTCCAAATAGCTAACAACATCATTTCCTCCTACTGTATCAATATCCATAATTAACCAATACAGCCTCAAAATGATAAACTAGCAAACCTCCCGAAACCCTAATTCTTCACTCCCTGAAGAAATCGTTCTCAGTAAATTCCAGTAGCTTACAAACTCCAAAACCTTCTCCACCTCAACACAAACTTACAGTTATTTTTACCCCCAACGATCGTTCCTACTCCTCAGCCTCACCGTTAGCTTACCGGCGTAGTGCTACTCAGTTCTCACAATAGCAGCAGAGACGCACTACTCAATAACCGAGCAAAGGAGAAAGCAAACAGTTTTGACCAAAGCCGAACCAGCAACCTCAACCGTTACTTCCTTCCCCTAGAACTTCGACCGTGAAAGCACAGTTAGACGCGAAGTTTCTAGTTGAATAATTCTATGTTAACTTGAATTTGAAAAAAGATAGGGGGTGGAATTGAGAGCTTGGAAACGCGAAAAGCACAGGAGCTGGTGCAAATCGACAGGAGGATGATGGCGATGGATGGTCCGCCGTAGATAAACAGGAAGCAAGGAGTAACTAGTCCGCCATAGTAGAGCGATGGAGGAAGCTTTGAGGAGGAGAGGAAAAGGGAGAGCCGCGCTCTTTTTTTTTTTTCTTTTTCTTTTTTGGCTTGTTTAAAAAAATCGGCGTTTTGTGCGAGGCACAGTTATAAAAGATAATGCGATCGCCGATCACCATGGTTGTCAATTGTGATTTGTCAAACTACAGGTATGCAGGTAGGTAAAATTAGGGGTCGTTTGCTTCAAGGATTTGGTACATGGATTTGGTACCAAAAAATCAATTATCAAAGATTTAGGTACAATCTGTTCATTGCTTGCATCTTTTTTGGATACCAAATTCGTGGGGCCCACGGATTTTAAGGGTCCAAATCCGTGGACCCCACGGACTTATAAATCCCACATGTTGATGTGAGATTTGGAATATGGCATAAATCCTTGATGAGATTTTACCTATATACCCTCATGCACTTTTAATATTCCAAGGTTGCCCTCAAATTTAACTATTATACATTATAATTAACAATAAATGAATAATATAAACGTTCAATTAATGTGCAAACATGAGTTAGATTTTTTTTATCATTTCTTGTGTTCTAGTTTTCTTTGACCTTTTCATGGAACATGTAATTCTTTGTTCTCCCGATTCTAATATATGTTGTTATATGTTACTTTTGAAAAGGAGGACAAAGAATTGGTAATTGATTATGTTACGTTAAAAGTTAAAACGGAATTTTCTCGTTTATTATTATTGTCCATGTGGCAACATTATGCTTATTAGTATGTATTGTCCTTGTTTTGTGTACATATCATAAACATGTCAAACATATAGAAAATGATAGTAAGGTAATTTTGAAGTTTTGTCCTTGTTTTGTGTACATATCATAAACATGTCAAACATATAGAAAAGGGCAGTAATGTAATTTTTGACTTCAAGTAGTAAATCCCACACCTTTAAGTCCATGATAAAAACATCCCAACAAACAAAGGATTGTTACAAATCCATGATGTCTCAAATACTTGATAAATCCTTGGGTTTTTAAATTATAAAACCCTCATTTTGAAATCCATGAAGCAAACGACCCCTTAGATTCAATTAGAATCTGAGACAAATGGGCTAAACCATCGGCAAAGTAGTCAAATTGAAAAAAACTATCAAAGTTGGTTAAAATCGAGTAAATCCGTGGTAAAATCCGAATGATCAAATTTCGTTTCTATCACTAAATAAATGACGTCGGTTTTTGGAATTAAAAAAAAAACTCAAAGGGGTCGTTTGGATGGGTTATTTAGTTGTGTGGTATTTGTAGGTTGAAATAACTCATTTATTGGTTATGTAGTATTTATGTGGTATTTGAAAAAATTGAAGATTCAATTGACTTGTTTGGATGATTCAAATAGATGAATTATTTGATATGTGGTATTTCATCTATGTAGGACATAGCTAACTTGATGTAATCGTTTTTGTTGTTCTTGTTAGAACCGTGTGAGTTGTTTGAGTTTGTAATCATTTTTATATAGCTTGATGTACTACTCCAATTGAAATTTCAATGGAAGTGCTTGTCTTAACTCATCCTTAAGGGTTTGATTGCATTGTTGGTTGCCTTAAGATGGATTCAGCCCAACAAATTACTATCATATAAGCTCCCATGACTTGCAATTAACCAGAAAATCAGCAGCATCTCTCACAATTCATTTCACCTGGAAATTGCTATAAAACCGGTAGTAGAGAAACCGAAAGTAACCTAGAAAAACTAGGAAACCAGCACCTCATAACTGGTTTTCCAATTACAATTACATATTTACAACATCCTACGCTTCTAGCAGGCGATCCAAAATCGGAGAAGTGAAACAAATCATCAACACCCCATGGGGAAAAGCCATCATGAGCCATTACAAAACTAAAGAGAACCCTCTTACTTCCCGTAACGCCACAATCAGTCTAAACGTCAGAAACCCCAGTACCCACAAGTGAAATTGTCATTGTTCTGTACCCAAAATCATCTCGCGGCTTCTACCCAAAATCATCTCACACCATGCAACGACTAATCGGCATTGTTCTTTCAACTATCATTAGAGATAAAGAGCAAACCAATAAACAGAGAGGAATCAAAACCCATATTCAAGTACCCTGCTCATCTAATCCAACCCGATAAACAGAGAGGAATCAAAACCCATATTCAAGCACGATCCGGCGACATGCAAATCAACGGACACGGACGGACGAAGAAGAAAAGAGAAGAGGGAGGCCAGCATGAAAGAGACGAAGCTAGCAATTGCCGCCTAACTCTCTGTTCGTCACCGCCTCCGCCGGCTTTCCTTCTTCCTCTCAGTTTGTCGCAACATAGGGTTTCGCCTACTCGATCTTATCAGCAACCAGAAGGATTCCAAAGAGTGCAGGAAATAATTTCGTCCCTCAGTCAATTTTGTTTCTGGGCAGAAGAATCAAAAGATTAGATGAAACGAGGAAAAAGAGGCTTGAGGAGAGAGGAGAGAAGCGAGGGGCGGACTTGGGCATAATAAACACAGAACGCGTTATTCCAAAATAACATGGGGTGGGTGGCATTTTCGCGTTATTTTGAAATAACCCGGCCCAAAATCACTCATCACTCAATTAGATTGCCAAACGAGTTATTTTGGCCCAAATAATTCGTTTTGAGTTGTTTGAACCAAAATAACTCATTCAATTACCTTATCCAAATGACCCCAAAGGAATTTGTTGGATTATAATATGAACATTTAGATGTTCATGCTATTTGTTGGATTTAAATATAAACGTGTGGATGTTAATGTTAATTATTATATTTAAATATAATGATTTGTCCTTTGTTATAGATTATAATGAGATTGATTTAAAATATATCATATATATGCATAATTCATTTGATACCCACTTTCCTAAAACTGACATATAAACCGGTTTTAGTCCGATTGGATCATATAATTTACTAAATTGTAACGATTAAAACCGATTTGACAACCTTGTGGAGACCCATTGTATGTCATAGTGGAGTCGTCAATGACCGACTTTTGTATATGGAAATTAATGTATTTTATTGAGGATAACTCAATTTTTTTTTGTTGAAACTCTTATAGAACTTATATTAATCAGACAATGTGGCTAATTCAGGTTAGTTGATTAATAAGAAAATGTGTGTGTGTGTGTGGGGGGGGGGAGGAGGGGGTGTTATCTAGTAAAACCACACTCTCTTAACCGAGTCTTTGTATGATGGCAAGTGATCCGCTTCACTCCATTATCTCAAGCAACATGACACTAATTTCCACCAACCATATACCCCATCCATCTACGAATCCTTCGACATAGAACACTAATTTCCTATATAAGAGGACATTATACTATCGTTTCTGAAAAAGTGACAAAGTATTTGTTTCAATGAGTGGTTTTGAAATATTTATCTATGTACTAAGTGCACACCAAGTTCTGCTGCTAGCGCCTCTGCCATATCAACTTCCGACGTGTCAGGTATTTTCTTAGTAGCGACTAGGTTGAACTTGTTTGCGTGATCATGTATGACAACGCCTAAGCCAATACCCCCTCCTTGTAGTATCTCAATGTGAGTTTTTATCTTTACAAAGCCATGATCCGATAGTCTCCAGTGCTTAGGTGCAACACAGATAACACTCTATTTATAGAGTTTATCACTAGTATATTTGATACATTTTCTCTTCTATCAATGCATATTTAGGAGTTTTTACTTAATTTCATATGAATATCATAACTATTTAATCAATGAGCTATTATTATACCTGGATTGTGTTTTTGTATCTTTTTATGCCCTTTTGGTGTATTTATGTGTTTTTCAAGGTAAAACACAACTTAAAATACTTTAGATTAAAGCTTGGACGATTATGGAGGATCAATGGAGCGTGATTGGAAAGATCAATGAGGTTTTTACCTTTAAGAGAAGCCTAAAGGAGGGGAAGTCTTTTGGAAGTCTCAATTAGACCCCAAAAAGAGCCCACCGGAGAAAACTCGACCCAATTTGGAGAAGAAATTGACATCGGGTCAAGGAAAAGTCCAACCGCCGTTAGTCCAAGACATTGAAGCTATAGTCCAAATTGACAGGAGAGGTTGCTTGGCCCACAAACAACCCAACCCAAGAAGAAAAGAGACGGCGGTGGGTACCGCTCCTAGCCCCAATTGACAATACTTCAGCCACCAGTTTGTAGAATATGTTATCTAAGTTGATAGGCTCATGTTTTTTTTTTATGTAAGAGATTTGACCTTTGGAATCAAAGCGATGAGAGTATGATTTAATTCCTTCGATATCTCTCCCCTTAAGAATTCCCAATAAAGTGTTGATTACATCATCGCCAATAATATGCTAACGCCTCCTGATGAACAACACAACCAAACCAGCATCTCTCGAAACTTTCTATAACGTCACATGCTTAAGAGCTCCAAAGACTTCATCTCACTCGAAAGGCAAGAGGTCATCGTATTGTTTAACAGCAATGGATGCTTCATGCTTGCACATAGTTAATATTGGTGTCTTCGTCGGGGGTCGTTCATGGCGTGAACATTTTGACGAAATAACATATGAGGCGTGGTTGAGTGGTACACCACTGTCCCGATTCATCTTGTATGTATAAATCATATTTCTTTTCTTATGAACAAAATTGTGTATTTTTTTGTATCTCCATTCCATAGCTAGTCAGCCCGAGATCGTTGCTTCCATCACAACTAGTCATTATCTTCTAATTTAATGAGTTACAACTCCTTGCTTGAACTGTTGGAGAATGATTTTATTATTTGGTGACCGGTCAAAAGCTGTCATGGCTCATTGTATACGTGACATCCGCTTAGAGAAGTTTAGAAATGTCTCATGACTCAAATCATCAATATTTTGATTACAAATCTCCAACCTAGCAAGCACGCTCATCGATTCCGAAAGAGTTCATGTGTCAGCCACTATTTTAGGACCATTGTATTTAACCCAACGCGGTTTAAACTTTAGGACCATTCACATTTGGGTTACACACCCTTCTCTTCATTGGTGTTTCATACAACTAGCCAATGCTTAGATCTTGACTTATCCCAATGAAGGATTCGTAAATTGTAAAAGCGGGTCATCCACAATGTTGAGGCCACAAAACATGTCCAACCTCTCTTTAATATATCCTCCTCCATCTTTGTTGTTTTCCCACGTAAATTTGATACCCTTGGTAGTTGAGGTCATGAAGGTCTGCTTACAGTAGGAAATTACCAAATTATGTCATCTCCACTTCAGGAATATCTAGACCCAACTCTTTTCAAAAGACGAAAGAACATGGTTTTGTTATAAAAAATCACATACCACGCAGACAATGTTTATTTAATAAAAGTATCTCGTACAGACATTGTGTATTGACTTGGTTTTGTTTTATAAAATAAGTACATATTTGATTTTGGAGGCTACTTTAATCTGT